TTTACTGCTGGGCTGATAGTGCCGCACTGCCTGATTCATGATGATTCACACGAGAAGCACAGGAATGAACAAAGTGTGACTAAAAAAGGAAACCGCCGAAAACCGAACTGTAGCAAGACTGGCCTAGATAGACATTCAACCTTCTGTCCTCCACTTAAATACCCCTTGTCACATAACCCCACATACCATACCCGTCTGTTTGCCATCTCGAACAGACAATAGTTACCCGCTATACTGCGAAACGTGGTTAACAATATTTATATCGGCCCGATTGTACTCGCTGCACCTTGTACGTAGCTGGCGCTGATTACTTGAATTTCATCCGGCTTTCCAGGATTTGTTGACTTTGTATACTGGCGTTTAGTGCTTCTATTTATTTCATCAAGGTAATTTTATTACTCGTAGTAGGTTTCATTAAATTGCCCATTTAACCGGCAACATGTTGTTAATTTGCGTTTTATGTAAATGCAATCAGGGTCCGATTGGCCCCCTCCCCCATGTAGTGTGCTGTTTTTGTTCGTGTGCGGCGCTCGTCATCTATAAACATCGCGGCTTCTGAAATGTCAGTCGTCTGTAAGTATAGTTGATACTTACAAGAATTTTAAATCTGGAAGATCGTCACCTGCGCACGCGCGGGAATTGAGTCCTAAGCGACGAGAACAACACACGCTAAAAACGTCCAGGCTCATGGGTAGACGCTTGTTTGTAAACAGTGACATGCTATAGCCATATGACCCATGCGCAGAATAAATAAATAAATAAATAAATAAATAAATAAATACATAAATAAATAAATAAAAGGAGAACATTCTAGATGTTGTCGTTGTAAATGGAGAATTTGCAATACAGCCTTTTACAAAATGTTTGTTTTATTCGGTATAATAATACAAATATTGACCCTAGCCTTGGTCGATATACAATTTGCAGAAATGAAGAAGCTACAAATATACAATTTTACCTGAATTGTAAGTTTAAAATACTTAAATTACTTAATATGATACAATTCCATATCGATAACTATCGAACAAAAATGTTATTTAAATTAAGTAATACATATTTTTCATTGGAAATAATATACTTTGTGAATTTCAATCAGTTTTAATATTTTAGAACCAAATTTAGATTTTACTTAGATAATCGTGATTTATGTCCATGAATGAAAGTGCTGAAAATCAGTTACTTCAATTTTTCTCGCTTAAAATAACAAATTTGGTAATTTTTTAACGGATTTCAGCAATTGTATGCCCAATTATAGTCTCAAAAGAACGATCGTTTTAGAGCCATTCCAATAACTAGACTCCAATTCCAATAAAATACATTTTTTAAGACAATTTGTATACAGTTTCAAATTTTGTCAAATTACATCATTTTTGTACCCAAAATGTGGGCTTAATGCAAAATCTGCAAATTCCTAATCAGAATGGCTGGATTTTAGCTAAGTGTAATTTGAACTTGAAACCTCGTGGCCTGACACACACCAGTTAAATGCCTTTGTTATTTACTAAACCGAGGTAAAAAATATATATTCTCACACAACTCTTTTTTCTCCACGAGAACATCTATGATAATCGGTATATATTGTATAAACGTTTTCGATAACATTTGGTGAAAATAATATTTATGTAACGGGTATTAATGTATGTCATGAATTAATATTTTTTTGTAAAATATGTTTTAAATTGTCATTATTTTTGAGCAAAAATATCGATAAGTTGTAGAATAATTACATAACAATGTGTAGACAATAGAATGTGGACCCTCCCCCCATTTATAGGAAGAATACTTACAAAGATGGTACAATATCGCCACCATTCGTGACGACAGTCATCACGTGGTTTGCACGTGATACGGATCATTCATGTCATAGGCTTACAAGAAAATGAAGTATACGGTTGCATTCACCAGGCGTCTTCTGCTGTTGTTCATTTGTTTTAATGTCGTGCATGGCAAGACTCCACAAGAATGGAAATCCCGCATAGTGTATCAGGTGGGTTGACGTGTGCTCTAGTTGAAATGAAGCATTCTTTTTGGGTTGTTTTATTGTTGGAAAAACGAGCCTATCCCTGTCTAGAGCTTTTCCAATCATCATAATTAAAACGTGTTTGCTGTTGTAAAAAACAGCAAATGAATGGTGTGTTCACGTCTCGCTCTTTCAGCAAAGCCTTTTGAAACGGTCACAAGGCGGTCACTGAAACATGACGTTAAAGCTTGCCATGACATTTTACTTTACGAATGTGTCGTATGCTGGTATTATAAACATGAGAGATCAAAGTTTGATTTATTTCATAAACCATAAATCAATTTGGTCGTCCGCTTGGCGCCACTGAATTGTTTTGTAAACATCGTTGCTGTGAGATGCGATATGATTTTCGTATGGGGGACAGGTATTGACGCTAATTTGATTATTATCGTGTAAACACACAACACTTTATTTTGAAGGCAGACTACATTTTAAATAACACAGTCAAACGTAATATATTCCTACATTTTTATTTGTCGTCAGTACAATTTACGTTGCGGAAATGTGTTGACTTTCTATACGTCACCAAAACATATAAAGAAAGTAAAAATTTAACATGATGTAATTATGTATCAATGTGAGATACATTGTATAAGGATTACATTTTTTTAAACTGGGACGGGTTGGAAGAATTTAAAGAAGAATAAAACTATAAACAACGACAAAATGTAAAAGAATCGGGGAAATATAAATAAAAATGATTTTCGTCAAGCATACATGGATACAATATTTACAGAATACAAAAATGTGTCAGTCTGTTTTCCTATTCTGATTTAACTTTAGATTCTAACGGACCGGTTTGCGCATACGGACAAGTCCCCGGATGAGGAATGTCAGGAACTGTACGAGTATTGTGGCGGCACGTTCAAGGGCATTGAGAATAACTTGGACTACATCACCGGTCTTGGTGAGTATGAACCTATTCGTATTGATTATACCCAGGAACTCCTGCTATGTTACCAGTATTATCTGTACAGGACCGTGGGTTTATCAGAGCATTATCTTCTAGATTCATTAC